AAAAAAAAAAAAAAAAAAAAAAAAAAACTTCCATCGACATGCTCTTTTCATGCAATACCGTGATAGAGTATTATTCTACCACTAAACCGCTTGTGCTATTATGATTGCCACCTATGCAAGGATAACAAGCACAAATCGAAAAATTGTATCAGAACTAGACACTAGGCCCCCGATGATATAGATTGGATAGGGAACGAAACATTTTTTATAAGGGTGTGAAAACTTCTCTCTAGCATCCGCGTTTTAAAATTGTGAGGTTGACGGTGATACGTAACGGGCTAAAATGGATAATACGGTAGGCTTAAGTTGTTATAGGTACTACAAATTGCTTTCTTATATGCCAACTCTATAAATGACAAACATTCTTTCTAAAACTTAATATTCTTAGAAAAAAACTTAATATTATTAGAAAAAATCAATGCTCCCAATGTTCTAACCTCAGTTTGTCCACGAGTTTGAGGATGACGTGTAGTTAAAAATAACAACTCGGTACCTAATTTACCCTACAATACTTTTTAAAAGTGGCTTAAAAAATTAACATCCTGTCACTCACAATAATTCTAGAGATTCTATGTAATCTAATCACTTCCCTAAAAAATAAGTAAAGATCCTCCATTTTTTAACCTGTAATAAAATGAGACATTTTATTAAGTCTATCTACTACAATAAAAATACTATTTTTACAGTTTTGAGTATGAGGCAAACCACGAATAAAATCCATAGATATATTAGTTCAAGATTTATTAGATACCTTCAAAGGAGTATACAATCCATTTGGTTGTGATCTAGACTTAGGTTCTTTACATTTAAAACATTGGCCTACAAAACTTATGAACATCATTCTTCATCGTCGACAAAAGAAGTGTTCATGCAACATATTATAAGTTTTAATAATCCTAGAATTTTTCACTAAGCCACCCTATGTGCTTCTCTTACCAACAAATCTCTTATAGAGCATTTAAGAACATAAAACTTACTCATCTTAAATCTAAATACATGAAACATATAATAATCATTCGCAGATTTGTTCGTAAGACAAGATGCATAAATGGTTTCAAAGTCTTGGATACGTCTGTATCTATATAAATATTTAGTATGCTCAAATCCAAGAATTTTTGAACTAATAGAAGGAAAGAGATGGTAACTTCTTGATAATACTTCAATTATCATATTATCCTTACGTTGCTTATATTTGATGACATACGAAGATATTTCAATAAACTCATCCCATTTTGTGTGCTTATGGCTCAATTTGCTTTGACCTACTTCAAGCTTTCATGATCAGAGTGGATCACAAATTCTCTCGACTTAAGTAGTGTTGCCACACCAACAATACACGAACAAAAGCAAACAATTTTTTATGATAGGTATCATAGTTCAATACTTTCCCATTTAGTTTTTCACTAAAGAGAATTCCATCTTGCATCAAAACAACACCTATGCTCAAACCACTTGCATCACACTCATTTCCAAAAGTCTTATCGAAGTTAGGCCAGACAAGTAGTGGTGCATTAGTTAATTTCTTCTTAAGCTCATTGAATGCATTCTCTTGCATTTTTCCTCATTTAAAAATAACCTTCTTTTTCACTAAATCATTCCGTGATGCAATTATGGTACTAAAGTCTTTTATAAATCTCCTTTAGAACCTTGCTAACCCATGAAAACTCTGAATTTCACTTACATTTTTTGGTGTCGTCTAATCTCTAATTGCTTTAACTTTCTCTTCATCTAATTCTTTTCCACTTTTTCCGACTATGAAGTCAAGAATGTTAACCCGCACGACAACTAGAGAAAGTCAACCTGCACGAAATCTAGTGTGAATAGTATTCGTTAGAGCTAAACCACTTACCAGACCTACTAGCAGTGTGACCGGTATTCGCTAGAGCTAAATTGATAACTATTTTCTTTGGTACCTTTGTAACACTATTTGGTGACCAAGATTAGACCAAGTAGTGTCCATGTCAAGTGGTAGATATTAAAAGAGACAATCATTATAATCATTATAAAAAAAGGAATCATGCCGTCAATCTTGATCAAGGTTAGATAAGATATCTACTCTGGTAACACAATTATTACAAGGAAGTCAATCATTCAACTTCGTAACTACAATTGGGTCAAAAATTTGGTTTACTCTCCTCTTAAAACTTAGTATCTTTGATCATCTAATGAAAAAAATTATTTTATCCAACAATATATTAAATTCCTCCAGAGCCAACGAGAGAGTATGACCCCATTGTCTAATGTCTCAAAGTTAGTGCATAAGGGCACTACACATATACTTACCTCAGTATGGGAAAGAGTGAACTTCATCTCAAGAAATTATGTTCTAATCTCCCTATCTGTCAAGTCCCCAAAATGATAGGCTTATTGAATCGGCTACAAAAGCCACTCTCACTTGTAAACGATAAGCCCTCACAGGCAAGAGTTCATAACTCACTTTTAGATTAAGATCGAGTCGCATATGATCATCAAGTAAAATATTAATTTTCTCAATTAAGCAATTTATAAAGAGAGAATAAATAATTTCATAAACAAGTCTTATATAAACTCAATGTATAGGATACTCTCACTCACATGTCTCCATGGGATCAATTTGGATCAAAAAATTTATAACAATTATGAAGTGGGTCATATTAGTAGTGCTACCAGAATAAGGAAACCAACCTTATTCGTATACTATAGACATTTTAAATCATTACTTCAACATGATCTCCTCATATGTTCCTCAGATGTGAACCACGTAGTATTCAAAATTACATTAATAATTTAAAATTTTTTATATATAGATATATAAAAGTGTAAATAAAATAATTATGAGCTAACACTTTCCAAATTAGTCAAGAAAAAAAAAAAAAAAACTAATCCATCTCAAGTATAAACATGATCCAAGTTAGATGTTAACAAGTAGCTTAGAATTAGCGCACAAGATTGAGTTTAAAGGATTATGGAGTGTTTTAAAAGACATAGCATAGACATTGATATATCAACACAAAAAGTGTTAAATTAGACATTGATATATACATACAATATAAGTTGGAATGATTGATTATATGAAGCAAATGGGTAAATGCATGCAGTTTTGGATGACTTAATTATGCTTGGATTTGAAGGAAAATGGTTGAGAAAATATAACTTAGAAGGTGAGGTGCACAATCTTGTGAGTAAGATAGAAACCTAAATGTAGATTTTGGGCCACACCCACGTGAAGATGGTTGGTAGGGAAGTCTCATGTTTCCTAATTTAGGGAATAATAGATGAATTTATAAGTAAGGAATACATATCAGTTAGTGTTAGTATGAGGTCTTTTAGAGAAGACCAAAGCAAATCCATAAGAGCCTATGTTCAAAGTGGACAATATTATACTATTGTGGTGGTGGATAAGGCACTGAAGAAGGTTACCAGAGTTATTATGGGTTCCGTGAACAACATGGAGAAAGCTATAGTGGTAATGGAAGAGCAGGAGAGCATGGTTATGGCAATGAAAAATACATGGGAGATGGTGGAGAAGGTGCGTATGGAGGTCAAGAAGGAGACAGTAAATATGGTGGAGGTGGTGGCGAACATGGCGGTTACAACGGTGGATATGCACCCTGAGAAACACATTGCACAGAAAGAAATTGATAGCTTCCAACAAAGCCAACACAATAACCACCACCACCATGCAAATCTCCACCAAAAAATTCATACCCAATCATCAAAATTTCTATCCAAACAACAAATCTTTTATCCCAACTACACAAACCAAAACATCAATTCTTATCACATCACCAAAAGCATTGACAAAAACAATTTATTAAAAAAAAACCCAATTCTTCAAACGCACATAGGCCAAAGCATTCACAAAAACCATTTATTAAAAAAAAATCCAAAGATACCTACCAATTAGGATATGGTGTACCTAAAATAATGGGTAATTTTACTGATTGATAGATTAGATTAGAGAGGAGTGTATGGGAGAGGATGATTAGCAAGCGGATTTAAATTTCACCTGTTATATCTAAAGTCAAACGGTTTAACAAATTTTTGGTTTCGTGGTGGATGAATAGGATTTAACCAATAATAAAAAGTGTATCGGAGTGGATGATTAGCTCGCGTATTTAAACTTTGACTTATATCTAAAGCCAAATGGTTTAACCAATTTTTGGTTTAGCTAGGGGATTTAAACTTTCATCCGTTATATCTAAAGTCAAATGGTTTAACAAATTTTTAGTTTCGTGGTGGATGAATAGGATTTAATCAATAAGAAGTGTATCAGAGTGGATGATTAGCTAGCGTATTTAAACTTTGAGTTATATCTAAAGTCAAATGGTTTAACCAATTTTTGGTTTCGTGGTAGATGAATAGGATTTAATCAATAATAAAAAGTGTATTGGAGTGGATGATTAGCTCGCGTATTTAAACTTTGACTTATATCTAAAGCCAAATGGTTTAACCAATTTTTGGTTTAGCTAGCGGATTTAAACTTTCATCCGTTATATCTAAAGTCAAATGGTTTAACAAATTTTTAGTTTCGTGGTGGATGAATAGGATTTAATCGATAAGGAGTATATGAGAGTGGATGATTAGCTAGCGTATTTAAACTTTGAGTTATATCTAAAGTCAAATGGTTTAACCAATTTTTGGTTTCGTGGTAGATGAATAGGATTTAATCAATTGACTTAAGTTTCGGTTGATGAGTTAGGGTCGTGTCTGTCTACCTTTCGAGAATCTTATTGTATTGGTCGTAAAGCTATTATATGATCTATTATTATTTCATTTTCATTTTGACTATGTTATGGATTTGAATTAAAAGTTAAGAGATCTATTAGACATTTTTAAAGTTCGATCATTTATTAGTACAAAATTTAAGACTAGATTGACAGAAGCTCAAAAGTTCGAGAACTCAACTTGTAATTAATAAATAAAAAATATATTATATATTTAAAAGTTGAGGAGCAAAACCTATACAAATGTTTGTAGATATAAGGTGAAGAGATTTAAAGTAATGTATACTAATATATTGTATATTTAAAAGTTGAGGAGCGACACCTATAACAATGTTTGTAGATATAAGGTGAAAGATTTAAACTAATGTATACGTTAATTTTAGACCTATAAAATGTTTGTAGATATAAGATGAAGAGATTTAAATAATCTATACACGTCAATTTTATAGATCTATAAACTATAAAATCCTATTTCAAAAATAAAAATTTTATTTTTTTTCGTATTAAAGTTTTATCTATCATATAAATTTTTTAAAATATTCCAAAAGAATTTATAATAAATAATTTATATTTTTCAACCAAATTTATTAAAAAAAAAA